CTTTACAGTCCCACATGAAACACATATCGAAAAGAAACCCCAGGCTCCCTATATACATAGGCCTTTACAGTCCCACATGAAACACATATTGGAGCCATTAAGCTCGTGAATGTTAAAAGTTCGGTTTTGACACAGCAAAATGAATAGTTGTAATATATTTAAAGTTTAATGGAATAAATTCATTTTAAACGATGTATCTAAAAAGTGATGTTTTAGACGAAATTCAGTTAACATTATTAAAACAGAAAAGGACTTCAGATTCGACTTGGCCGTACGTACATGAAAAATCTTTATTTTCCTTTTTTGTGTAGTGGTTTTATGGTATCATAAAAAACTTTGAATAAGATAATTAGTTTTACTATTTGCTGCGAACCTTTTGTTTATGTAAGCCATAGAAGTTTAGTACTAGCAAAAATACTCGGTAACTTTTCCATAATATTCATCATAATTTATGTTGTTGTTGATATTTTCTTGTTAAAAGTGTCTTACTAAGAAGAGATATGGGGTTAGTCCTTTATTATGCTCGGTAAAACCTTCGCTTGTGTGACTCAAGGAGCCCCTCAATGGCTCAGCGGTAAATCTTTGTCCTTATGACATTAAAAATGGGTTTTCGGTACCTATGGTGGCCACAGCACAAATAGTGTATGTGCTTAATAACAAACAAACAAAACGTCTCAAGAAAATATCTAAATATGTATGGACATACTGCTACCTATTTCCATAAAGCACTTTTACATTATTCTCATGGCTAGATTTCTGTTTACCGAGATGTTTCGCAGATTTTTATAGTTTATCACAATTTTGATATTTTTGAGTGAATTTTGTGATGCACGTGACAAGTATCGCGTCTGTCTTCTCATCTGAGCAACACTACTTTTGTCATATGACAATATGAAAATGTGTATGTACCGTATTCATTCTACTCCAGAAAAGTCATTTATTGTAATCTCGGGTCAGGATCATAAAACTGTGAAGACTTTCAATCTTCATGCTATAATCATTAAGCAAGATAGCTGTAGAACCATAACTCAGCCTGTCCAGCAAGATAGCTGTGGAACCATAACTCAGGACGTTACGAACACTTGTCTTCAGATCCAAACAGTGGTAATGTATTTGATAACGTTACGAACACTTGTCTTCAGATCCAAACAGTGGTAATGTGTTTGATAACGTTACGAACATTTGTCTTTAGATCCAAACCGTGGTAATGTGTTTGATGACGCTACGAACACTTGTCTTCAGATCCAAACTGTGGTAAGATTTTATCACCTCCATCCTAGTTTTCACATAGTAGTTTTGGAAAACTCGGATTATTTTACTGTACTCATTCTCAGATGAGGAGCTCACAGATTCCAGTAAAGCTGCGACATCTTGAATTTTGCATATTGAGCGAAACCGATTGTTACAGGAAAAATCATATTTATTATCGTTGTATTTCATATTCCTTTTACATGCACTAGCTGTAACATTCTGAGTTTCGCATGTTGATGGAAACCGATTGTTACAGGAAAAATCATATTTATTATCATTGTATTTCATATTCCTTTTACATGCACTAGCCGTAACATTCTGAGTTTCGCATGTTGATGGAAACCGATTGTTACAGGGAAAATCATATTTCTTATCATTGTATTTGAGACCCTCTTTATATATGTATTCCTATTTATATGCTTCATCTTTATGTATAG